TACAGGCTGACTCAAAAAAATTAATGAATGCGTGAATTTATTTGATCGATTTAATCAGGAATTACAAAACCGAATGTTTTGAAATCTTGGAGATATTTTAAAGTTATTATAAGCATGGTAAACTTTTGTTCAAAATGTATTTGTTCATCCCTAAAATGCAGAAAATATGATGAGCTTGTACTTGTGATTTATCATTCCATTCATATTTTTTAGATTTTCTTAAAGGGTGGCTCAAAAAAATTAATGAAGTCAATTTATTTTATTGATCAAATTAAAGGCAACACTTATTATTAGTATTACATTGGATCAACCCAATTTGGTAGACACAAAATTTTTTAAAGTTAAAACTCGGTTGAAACATAGCTGACTAGGTTCCGCGAATGTGGTATAGACATGTTTTAAATCAACCAATTGTGAATTCCACCGTCAAAAATTAAAATAAAATCCAATGTTTTATATAATAAGCGGAAGTCGACGCAATAAAACCGATTGTCGTTTTGTTTACAGTTTCTCTGTTTGACTCTCACGTATGCTGTTACGCCTGTCATCTTAAATTAAGAATGTTTATACATACACGATTTTCAGTTGCCTCTGATATGTATACGTGAGTAAATTGTTTCGTTATTTTATTGATTATTACAAATCAATATTCAAAACGACCCAATTCATTTTCCCGAAAATTTGAGAATATAATAATTTTATTCTTAGTATTACACTACATCTATCCCAACTGATATACGTGTCCTTGCAAAAATGTTGATGACGTCATCGCAATTTTTTTTTAAATTCCCACTACAAAAATGTAATGAGAAAAAAAAACACAATAGGCATGCAGTCGTCAAGTTTCCGACAGCGAGGGAAGTACTGTCTAAACTCTTTAGACCAATTTTTTTTCAATTTTATGCATATTAAAACTTATATGCTTATTTAATGCTTTTTTCGACGAATATATGTTTTAATGCATATTTTGTAGAAGAATTATAATAATAATATAAAAATTGGTCTAAAGAGTTTAGACAGTACTTCCCTCGCTGTCGGAAACTTGACATGCCTATTGTGTTTTTTTTCTCATTACATTTTTGTAGTGGGAATTTAAAAAAAAAATGTGATGACGTCATGAACATTTTTGCAAGGACACGTATATCAGTTGGGATAGATGTAGTGTAATACTAAGAATAAAATTATTGTATTCCCAAATTTTCGGGAAAATGAATTGGGTCGTTTTGAATATTGATTTCTTATAATCAATAAAATAACGAAACAATTTACTCACGTATACGGCGTCGGTGTGTAATATCTAGAGAGCGGATTTCTGTCGGGCTAGGCAAGGCCAAACTCGGTACGGCTCGTACGGGATGCGAATTCGTTGCGGTTGCGGACTGCATTTCGTTTATTTGAGATTAGAATAACGCTGTTTCGTTGCACTCTGCTGTTAATTCCCGTTCTCATTTACTTAGCCGTTTGATTAATAAATCGTTAATTATATTTATGGAATTAGTACCGATTAAACGTGACGTAGCCCCACAAAAATCCGCTGTCTAGTAATATGAAAGGCAACTGAAAATCGTTTATGTATAAACATTCTTAATTTAAGATGACAAGCGTAACAGCATACGTGAGAGTCAAACAAAGAAACTGTAAACAAAACGACCATCGGTTTTGTTGCTTCGACTTCCGCTTATTATATAAAACATTGGGTTTTATTTTAATTCTTTACGGTGAAATTCACAATTGGTTGATTATAAACATGTCTATTTCACATTCGCGGAACCAAGTGAGCGCATAAAACAAATGCAGGTCTGTAATGTTAAAGTCGATGTAAATAAGCGTGCTACCCTTATGTTTCAACCGTGTTTTTCCTTTAACAAATTTTGTGTCTACCAAATTGGGTTGGTTGGGGTGTAATACTAATAATAAGTGTTGCCTTTAATTTAATCAATAAAATAAATTGACTTCATTAATTTTTTTGAACCACCTCTTAAGAAAATCTAAAAAATATGAATGGAATGATAAATCACAAGTACAAACTCATCATATTTTTTGCATTTTAGATAGGATTTATTCAGCAAAATTTAAGGGTGACGTCATCAATTTTTTTAGGAGGGATGAACAAATACATTTTGAACAAAAGTTTACCATGCTTATAATAACTTTAAAATATTCCCAAGATTTCAGAGCATTCGGTTTTGTAGTTCCTGATTAAATAAATAAAATATATTTAAATTTTTTTGAGTCACCCTGTATATGCAAATCCAAAAAATATGAATGGAGTGATAAATTACAAGTACAGACTCATCATATTTTTACAGTTTAGATAGGATTTATTCGGCAAACTTTCGAGCTGACGTCATCAATTTTTTGGAGGGGATAAGCAAATATATTTTGACTAAACATTTATTATGCTCTTTATAACCTTAAAACATCTGCAAGATTTCAAAGCATTCGGTTTTGTAGTTTCTGAGTAAATCAGTAAAATAAATTTACGCATTCATTAATTTTTTTGAGTCACCCTGTATATGCAAATCCAAAAAATATGAATGGAGTGATATATCACAAGTACAGACTCATCATATTTTGTACATTTTAGATATGATTTATTCCACAAACTTTTGTGCTGACGTCATCAAGTTTATGGTGGGGATAAGCAAATATTTTTTGACTAAAGATTTATGATGCTCTTTATAGCCTTAAAACATCTGCAACATTTCAAAGCATTCTGGTTAGCAGATTAAAAATTAAATTTCAAAATGTTGTTTTATAATTTTGATTTTTTTTCCAAAAATCTGGACGTTTCGGGTGAAAAGTCGATTCAGAGTTGTAAACTACATGTGTAGGACTATGTTATTTTATACAATTGAAAACCCATTTACTATGTACAATTTTGAAGTGACGTCATCGCATTAGTGGTGGGGATGATTAGACAAATTTTGGTTAGCGTTTTACCATGTACATGATATTCTTAATATAAGTACAAAATTTCACAACAATCGGTCGAGTACTTTCGGAGATTATCTGTCTAATAAAAATCCGGGACGGCAGACGGACAGACGGACAGACGGACAGACGGACAGACGGACGGACAGACGGACAGACGGACAGACAGACGGAAATGGGAGACCTATTTCTTCGTCTTCTAGGGGTCATGAAAGATCGAGAAAACGTAAAAGTAGAGAGTCGGCCGACGGACTCGATTACAATACTTCCTTTGCTTACGCTCGGGAAGTAATATAATAATATAATAATAATAACCAAAGCAGGGCGGATTCACAAAACACAAGTGTGGGAGTATTAATTATACAAAATTAAACGGGGATTTCATCACGTTGTTGGTGGGGATGATTAGACACATTTTGTTTAGCGTTTTACTACCTGCATGATATTCCTAATATAAATACAAAATTTGACAACAATCGGCCCAGTACTTTCGGAGATTGTCTGTCTAATAAAAATCCGAGCAGACGGCAGACAGACAGACAGAAACGGGTGAGCTACTTCTTCGTACTCTAGGGATTATGAAAGGTCGAGAAAACGTAAAAGTAGAGAGTCGGCTGACGGTCTTGATTACAATAGATAGACCCTTCCCTTAAGCTCGGGAAGTAAAAAAAACAAAGGTAGAAGAAAATATGTCGTAATCAATACAATGTATTCAATAACATTCTTCTCTTATCATGTTGTCGATTACACTATTTTAGAAATTTATTTAAGCACGTGTCGGACTAATTAAAAAGTGAATACACGTTTCTGATAAAATTAACATTCAATTTTCCTATTGCAAATGAAGCTGCTGACTCCACTGCGATTATAGTTATATACATTGTATCTACTTTAACTCGCTACATAATTATAAGCAAATTGATTTTTCTGCATTTGAGACATGTCCGTCGTAACTGCAATGTTATGTATGCCTAATCGCGTTTTTTACAATTTTTTGTTTTTTAGTAAAAATTAAAAACGTACTAAAAAATCGTAAAGAACTGAAACGAATTCCAAGACCAGAAGATAAAAATTTCATTGGTGGCAACTGTGCACATTTACAGACGTCATTAGGTAAATATTTTCTTTTATTGCATATTAATTATATTGACCGAAATGTTCTAGATGCTTCGTTTCAAACCTTGCGAAAATGGGCAAAAGCGTACTATCCAATTTATAGTTTTACTATCCTTCACTTAATTATACCGAGTATAATACACCCAGATGATTTTGAGGTAACAACCTAAATTGTTTAATATGAAATAACGTCACTTTTTTTCTACAGCTAATTCTCTCCAATTCAAAACACGTAGAAAAAAGTGATGCCTATAACGTTTTCTATGGCTGGTTACGTACTGGTCTCCTCACGAGTTCTGGTAAATATATGGCCTAAATCAGTTGACTTCAGTTAGTAATGTTAATAAAATTTAGGACCAAAGTGGTTGAACAGAAGAAGACTTTTAACGCCAGCGTTTCATTTTAGTATTTTGCGGCAATTCGTTGAAATATTTAATAACCAGACGGATGATTTAGTGAAAAACCTTGGCGAGTTGTGTCACCAAGTTTATATTTCAGTTGATAACTACATTGCACAATTTACACTTAAAACCATAACAGGTAAAATTCCATCGGGTATGCCATCGTTTTAATGGTAGAATTACAAAAACTGCAATGGGAACAAAACTGAAATTTATTAAACAAAACGAAGTAGAATACAGACAGTCAATTATAGACATGGGACAAATAATAGCTTATAGATTATTTCATACTTGGTTTGTATACAGCTTTGTAAATTTATTTAGTCCGAAATATTTGAAAGAGAGGAAAGCTATTAAATCCTTACATAATTTCACTCGGAATATCATAACAGAGCGGACACACGCCATTGACAAAGTCCACAATAAACCTGAAAATCATGAAGTTTACAAGCGACGAAAACGAATGGCTATATATAAATTTATTGTATTTTTTTAACTTACAAAGAAACCTGCTTGTAGTAGGCAAAGATAATCTTCTAATTCCTCAAAAGTTGTTTAGCTGTGGTCTGGCGGCATATCTTCTATTACTGTTTTCTTTTTGATTTGTCAGATTTGATGACGTTTTCATGTTGGAGATTTGTTCACTCGTTTCCTTTAGAATTTCTTTTGTTTCGCACATATTATTTGTATTTGTTTCAAGTCTATAGTAAAATTATATTCATTAGCATCTAGTTAATAAAAAATTGCCATACCTTTGCAACATTTTATGGCAAAGCGCCTCACTTTCAAAAACAATCACCGTAAGTTCTTCAAAATCAGCGGGAGTATCTTCAGTGATTAATGGTGGTATTTCCAGCTTATCTGAAAAAACTGTTTTTGTTATTTACGTACAGTTATCAGAGACACGTAAAAATTAAAACGATTACTTTATTAGAATTATATTAACTTACCTAGTATAAATACAACCCACACTGAATGACAGAAATTTTCACAAAACTGCATTAAAAATGAAGTGAGTTACGGATCCACGAGAAAGGTTCGGTGGTTGTGAACCAAATGGCCAAATAGAATTCGAAAGCTTCATTGTGAGTGTGAAGTGCAATAAACATAAATACTGAGAAAAGGGATCGTCGGACTGCATCTCCCAAACATCTGGTGGATAGTAAATGCAGAAGTTGAGCATTATTTTTTCATTAGATGAAATAAATTTAATAAAATTAAAAATTAACCACTCTCTAATTTTTTTGGTACCCATCATCGCTTTATAATTGTCTTTATAAAATCAAAATTCGACGAATGAACTCTTCAGAACCTTGTCCCGTTTCAGGGACAATGGACAAAGAATTTTTATGACTTTGTTTGTGTCGTTGGGTCTTCCCTATATTACCCCAGATGTTCTATTTATAATTTGCCAAGCAGGTACTTACAAAATAACATTTCAAGTGAACAAGTTTACAGAAATAATTCTCAGAAATTATTACAATGAAAAAACTTGTCTTTGGTGTATTTCTAATAAAGCCGTTGTATTTTTCGCTCTGAATATAATTATTAATTAAGCATTAGGAACTCACTGACGAATGCCACTTTTTAAAGAATACGGCGACCCACATCTAACTGACCATATAATCTTTAACAATAAATTTCAAATAATACCATAGTGGTTTTTTAAAATTTTGATAAGGTGTTGTAAAAGTATATGTGAATCGCCACATCTCATATGTTTCTATTTCTGTCTTCATTCCAGACACTGTGTTTACGTGGGCAAAGGATGCCGTACGTGAGATTTTAGGGACAGAAGCGTATGCCTGAGTAAATACTGTAAATACAGTGGTGTTGAACGAAGACAAAAACAGAAATATACCCGATGTATTGGTATTATACATATACTCTATTACCGACATTAAAAAAAGTCTACACTATTTCGTCATATCTGCTGCTTTATTATCAATTTTCAGTTAGCTACATATTGGATATGAAATGAAGTGATTTTTTTGAGAAAATACTAATTTAAAGATCAACCACGAAAATACTCAATTATAATTATTCATTATACATTACCAGTTTATTTTAGAACCCATGACTACATTGGAAAAATCTAAACTTTTGAAAATCTAATGTTAAACAGATATACCTATAACTGAGTACGAAGTCAAAACACAAAACTCGATGATCAATTATTGTTTCGTATTCAAATTATTAATTATTTTCCGACAGATATCTAGTAAATGTAGTTAACATTATGTGTTAGTTACATAACAGGAGTACCACAGTGTGATGTTTAAACGCTTATATGCAAGCTATATCGCTGCGACGTAATAGTGAGAAAGCTAGGAAATGTAATCAACATTACGTGTTGGTTACATAGCATGAGTACTCCATTGTGATGCTATATAGCTTACGTTCCAGGTATATCGTTAAGACATAATCATGCGATGTACTCATTGTTCTCTTGTGAGTACATACCTGTCACGTTAATGTCACAACTGTGTTTACTGGCTTATAGCGTGCCACAAAAATGTCCAAGTAATTTTTCTCAAATTGCTATTCCTGAACTTGAAATAAAAAAAAAATCACCTTTGATATACTATTTCCAGCGATAGATTGGAAAATTTTGAATTCACAATCGCCAATCGGAGAATCCAAAATATACTAACATTATACGGTTAAAGCTGTTAAAGAATTGTAGTTTAAGTTGGCAACCAACGTTTCTTTTCCCGCGCAACGAATTTCCTACGCCTCTGTGCCTGCGCCAGTCGGCCGGTTGTGTGTTTTGGACGATCAGCTGATTGACGTTAGTTTAAAATTTTGGTTCAAAAAGTTAAAAAGTGTGTTTTTTGCGTTTAGTGTTTGTGTTTTTTTACTTGCTTTGATTTGTTAGGTATGATATTATAGACCTTTGTGCTGTTTTTTGTATAGTGGCTGAAGTTTGGACATTTTAGGTTAAGTTGTTTGTGTCAAAAAACGTTTCATATGGACCCCATGGAAAACATTACGAATAAAATTCATAATTACGCAAGAGTGTGTTGTTGATTTATTCTGTGTAATAATTATATACCATTATATTTTGTAGCCCTCTTCAACCCGGTGCAATATGACTGTTGACAACATCGTGACACAGAAAATGATTGCCAATGCGTATTCATTTTTCAAGAAGGAAAATTTTATTTTAAGATGCGCTACAGAGGTTGTTACTTCAGTATAAAGTACGTAATGTTATTCGAAGTGTATGTTCCAGCGTAGATAATATTGTCTGTTGTAAATAAATTGTGTTATTATTAAAAGTAATTTTACGTAGTTCAACATTATTTTCAAATCTACTTATATTTCAAATAAAGCGCCTTTGGCACTACTTTTTATAGCGGTCTATTTGGTGACTTTTCTGTCAGCTAATCTATTGGTGGAAATACTATATCAAAGGTTTTTTTTAGGATTTAATCGTTGAGGAAATTGAGGCTGTAACAGGAAATTTACATAGAAAACCAACCTTTAATGATCTTCAACAAATGAAATACTTAGAACGAGTTTTAAAGGAAGTTTTGAGGTTGTATCCTAGTGTTGCCTTCATTTCTAGAAAACTTGGAGAAGAATTAGTTACTGCTACTGGATATAAGATACCTAAAGATACGATAGTCCACATGCATATTTACGATTTGCATCACAATCCTGAATTCTACCCAGATCCTGAAAAGTTTGATCCTGACAGATTTTTACCAGAGAATACAAAAAACTGACACCCTTTTGCTTATTTACCTTTTAGTGCTGGTCCTAGGAACTGTATTGGACAGAAGTTTGCTATGTTGGAACTTAAAACGGCTTTGTGCGGAATATTGTCTAAATATGTTCTCGAACCGGTGGATACTCCTGACACGATAACTCTTGTGGCGGATGTTGTACTAAGAACCAAAGATGAAATCAAAGTGAAATTTCTACCGAGATTTTAGAGAATTTTTTTTATCAGATTTAACAGTTATTTCGTTGTAAATATTGTCACGACCGGGTCGGGGGAGAGATTGGTAGAGCTAAGGATAATTACCCGATCCGACGTTAAGAATAAAAATCCCAAATACATTAAATAAACTAAATATATTTCAACTTACATTACAAATTCCATCCTTAGGGGGTACGGTGCGTCACTTCACTTCCCTCACTTTTTCCTTCCCCCTGTCCCTAGTTAGTACCGACTGCCCCTTTCGTCAGTCCGCACTGCCCCCACCTAAGCTTCCGTAATGCCAGCAAAAAGAGGTTTTTGCTGACATCCCACAAGCATGGCATGAGGCAATCTTTACATAACTAGGGCAACTAGCAGTTCCGTGACACATCTCCCCCCTTAAGGAACACTGGACCTCCAGTGTTTTACAAACAGATATCTCTTAACTAATACAATGCATAAAACGTACATAGCCACAAATTATCCATTTTGCAAACACAACCCTATAAAATATACAATCATATTAGACTTCACTCCTACTTTACTACAATAACAAAGATACCCAACGATACAAAATTACATTCTTCTGGTCGACATACCCAGGAAGACCCTACCAACATTTTACACACTTGAATAAGACAAAAATTGATTTAAGGTATTTATCTTTTGAAGCAACTATTTTAAAATCTCTCGCGACAAGCGGCATTCTCTTACTAATTGCAGCAGTTGATGAGCGCTATTTTAACGTCCCTGCTTACTGGCCGAAGTCCCGTTCACCACCATTTCCTTTTTGGCAAAACTCAACCACTATGAGTCCAGTCTTGTTAACTGGAGTCTTCTTTAAGGAGAACTCGTCGTCGTAGAAGCTTGGTTCTCGAACGAGGGCGTCGTATGCGAGAGTGATGTCAGGGCCTTTTTTTTTCCATGCTGGTTCTGTCTCGAGCAAGAACGCCTTATGTATGGTAGGTGTCTCCCGTTGCCAGACCCGGTTCCAGAACATAAAAAAGAAAGTTCATTCATTAGAATTACCTTATACTCCTACAAAATAGATAAAGCGAAGCCAGTACACAATATCTAAATAACTTTCTAAATCTATGTTCAATCTCCGATCTAAAATATAAAACAGTGGACAACTACTTATTATCTACATATAACCTATATATGGGTAATACCTATATGCCTGCAGGCTTCAATCGACCTGCACAGATATTGCCTCAGCATTTGTCTAACGATCTTTTTAATCGAGAGTCCAAATATTAAGACAAGATCCACAAGGTGATAATATATATAATTTACGACGCGTCATCTACAGTTATCCTAACGGCTTCCCCCCCTTGTAGTAGAAGGGAGGTGGTAGGGTTACATGTTTGGTTGGTGGAGGCTATCGCTGGGTGGTTGGATTTCCAAAATATATATATTAATAAAACAGTTAAGATTAAATTCCAAACAACTAAAGTAGCGGATGTATGTACACCATAACTGTCCGCAAAAGAAAAAATTTGTGGTGATTCTGGAATATTTGCGACAAAATTTTGGAGAAGTTTATTCGGGGAGGTTAAATTTAAATGCGGAATAGTCAATGACCAATTTGGATTAATACATTCCGAAAAGTTGTTATATGATGGTAACGAGTGGGTATGAATGGGGTTAAGAATGAAAGATTTTAGATTCGACCACGCTGCTGGAATTGTGATTTACGTGGATGCGAGGGATAGTATCTAAGCAGGGAAAACGTCTAGGTATTATTACATCATGCAGGTAAACAAGTGCACACTGGCAGTGAAGTTTTATTTTTAACGCGCCCAATAAGCTTCCGAATTCAGTTAGGGTTTTATTACTGCTGGGACAACTTATATAAGCGCCTACCTTTAAATTTGTTATTATAAATAAATCCTCCTCGACTTCTGTGATGGTAAGCGATGTCGATGCGTGACATTTCATGGGGCAGTGATAACTTAATTCCTCCACTGTCGCACCTTCATATAATTTTCGTGCACACGTAGGCCCATGAAGTTTATCCTCTCCGAATCGAGGAAGAAAGCACAGCTTGTCGGAGTGCGGCCTGCACTGATGCAACCCCAAACCAGAAATTTGTCGGTACAAATTGTGCCTCCGGTGTCTAGTGTAGGGAGCTTCTGCCACCGCCAAAAACAAGGTGCTGTACTCTATTCTGCAACTCTGATTGTACCAACTGAAGGGTGCAGTTATGAGCTCAACCAAACTCCACCTAATGCCCTGTTGTACGATGGGCACTCGTACTACCAGTGTTATGTTATTTCCTGAAATTACACAATC